GGGGGTGACACAGGTGACACCAATGACCCCGGGGGTGACCCAGGTGACCCTGAGGGTGACACAGGTGACACCAATGACCCCGGGGGTGACCCAGGTGACCCTGAGGGTGACACAGGTGACCCTGAGGTCACACAGGTGACCCAGGTGACCCTCCTGCCCCCCAGGGCGGGATGCTGGCGGTGCGGGAGAACAGGTGACCCTGGGGGTGACCCAGGTGACCTTGAGGTGTCCCAGGTGACCCTGAGGTCACACAGGTGACACAGGTGACCCTGGGGGTGACCCAGGTGACTCTGAGGTCACACAGGTGACACAAGTGACCCTGGTGACCCTGGGGGTGACACAGGTGACCCTGGGGGTGGCCCAGGTAACACCAGTGACCCCAGGGATGACACAGGTGACCCTGAGGTCACACAGGTGACCCAGGTGACCCAGGTGACCCTCCTGCCCCCCAGGGCGGGATGCTGGCGGTGCGGGAGAACAGGTGACCCTGGGGGTGTCCCAGGTGACCCAGGTGACCCTGAGGTGACACCAATGACCCCAGGGGTGACCCAGGTGACCCTGAGGTGACCCAGGTGACCCAGGTGTGCCCCCCAGGGCGGGATGCTGGTGGTGAGGGAGAACAGGTGACCCTGGGGGTGACACAGGTGACCCTGAGGTCACACAGGTGACCCAGGTGGCCCTGAGGTGACCCAGGTGACCCCAGGGGTGACCCAGGTGACCCTGAGGTCACACAAGTGTCACAGGTGACCCTGAGGTGACACAGGTGACTCTGTGGTCACACAGGTGACCCTGAGGTGACACAGGTGATTCTGAGGTCACACAGGTGACCCTGGGAGTGTCCCAGGTGACCCTGAGGTCACACAGGTGACACAGGTGACCCTGGGGGGGACATAGGTGACACAGGTGACCCTGGGGGTGACCCAGGTGACCCTGGGAGTGTCCCAGGTGACCCTGAGGTGACACAGGTGGCCCAGGTGACCCACAGGTGACCCAGGTGACCCAGGTGTCCCCCCCAGGGCGGGATGCTGGCGGTGAGGGAGAACAGGTGACCCTGAGGGTGACACAGGTGACCCTGTGGTGACCCAGGTGACCCTGGGGGTGGCACAGGTGGCACAGGTGACCCTGAGGTGACCCTGAGGTGACCCAGGTGTCCCCCCCAGGGCGGGATGCTGGCGGTGAGGGAGAACAGGTGACCCTGAGGGTGACACAGGTGACCCAGGTGACCCTGAGATGACACCAATGACCCCAGGGGTGACCCAGGTGACCCAGGTGTCCCCCCCAGGGCGGGATGCTGGTGGTGAGGGAGAACAGGTGACCCTGGGGGTGACACAGGTGACCCTGGAGGTGACCCAGGTGACCCTGAGGTGACACCAATGACCCTGGGGGTGGCACAGGTGGCCCAGGTGACCCCACAGGTGACCCAGGTGACCCAGGTGTGCCCCCCAGGGCGGGATGCTGGCGGTGCGGGAGAACAGGTGACCTTGGGAGTGTCCCAAGTGACCCAAGTGACCCTGAAGTGACACCAATGACCCCAGGGGTGACCCAGGTGACCCTGGGGGTGACCCAGGTGACCCAGGTGTCCCCCCCAGGGCGGGATGCTGGCGGTGCGGGAGAACAGGTGACCCTGGGGGTGACACAGGTGACCCTGAGG